TATGTGTCAGTTACTATAAATTATATCTCTAGCCTTGATCTCTTCTCTGAGCTTCATGCTTGGATTTTCAGATGCCTCCTTAACTTCTCTACTTAATGTCCTGTAGGAATTTCAAAACTAAATTCACTTTTTGTTTCTTTCCTCTTCCTTAATTATTTTATGATCAAAATTCTGCCAGTATTTTCTCATCACATGAAGATTAAATTCTAAAGTCTTTCCACTGATCTTCTGTCAACCATTTTGTCTTTTTATTTTTACTTTTCCCCAAAATATGCTTAAGAATAGTTTTTTCATTTCATTCACTTCCCGATTATTTCACTAACAGATCCGCTCTGTTCATTCTATGTACAATAATACCTCCAACACTCTATATATTAATCCTGCCCATTTTTCTTCATACTCTTATTACCATCTAACATTATATCATATATATGTTTCTATATTATCACCCCTTATACTCTCACTGGAATGTAAGTAAGAAAGGATTTTCTGTTTTTAGAAACCTTTATGCTCTTATCGTTTAGGATATATGTTTTACTGTTAACTTCTATTTAATTTAATAAATAGTAATTGAACACTTACTATATTAGAATTATAATAATTAGATGCTATTTCTGTTTCAGGCACTATTCTAAGGGCTTTTCATATATCAATTCATTTAATCCTCAGAATACTGGAGAGTAGGTACTGTTATTTTCATTTATCACATGTAAAAACATTAGGCCTACCCAACAAATGATGGATCCAAGACTTGAACCCAAGTAGTCACTTATTAAAAGAGCCTATCCTCCTTGCATGTTACATGTGGTATTCCAAGGGACAGAAAAGAAATTTAACAGTTTATTCCTTCAGGAACCTTTAATGCTACTTTGGAGGTAAGATACTGTCATAAAACAAATATTCTAAAGTCTTAGAAATAAAATAGGGCAGTATAAAATTTAAGTCCTAATCTAAGAACTACAAGGCAGAGTAACAAACCAAAAGTAGAGACGTTGTTATGGGCTGAACATAACCACAGGAGGTCTGAACTGGGTTTACCAACTGAATGAGACTCGCTGGGAGTGAGTACCACCCCAGATATTTTAAATCAAAATCTCCTGAGGCATATAGGCAACTTAAAGAAATTTTCTATTATGTATTAGCTTGCCAAAGTTGTGATAAAATAAACATTTGCCCATGTTGTCAATAGAAATATAAATTGGTGCAACTTTTATGAACCACATTTGGCAATATATCAAAAGAACTT